AGGCAGGAAGGCTGCGAACAGAATGCGGGAGATGCCCCAGGATTTAGGCCTCCAAGCAACCCCTGGAGCGACAGGGTCGGGAAGTCCCTGGGAGTTCTGTCCCTAGCAGAGGCCACTGGGATCTGGGGCCCCTGCTGAGCTCGCTGGGGACACAGCTAGGCCAGGCGGGTTTTGTTGACTGTGCGCCTGCCCATATCCGACACACCTCATCAAAAAAGAATTTTTCAGAGCTCCCAGCCAAGGTGACCGGCTCTAGGAAGGGGGCTGCAGACCCAGGGACAGCCAGGACCTCTAGGGCCGCCAGGCTCACAGGCCCTTGGCTTTTCTCCATCTTTTTTTTTTTTTTTTTTTTTTTTTGTGCTGGGAATCGAACTCAGGACCTTACGCTTGCCAGGCAGGTGCTGTGCAGCTGAGCTATATCCCCAGCCCTCCATCCATTTTTAAGTTTCTCCCTTGACCTTCCTATCTGTCTGTCTGTCCCTACCTCTTCTCTCGGCAGAGGAGAACCGATCCTGGGACTTGAGGTCCTGTAAACACACTATCTGAGGTCTGCCAAAGGAGGGGTCAGCTGTCCAGGGGAACTGAAACACAAGGCATTGCTTTCACTCAGCCTGGGCACACTGATAAGGTCCCAGCCCCTTTCATCTTTATTTACCTTAAAAAGAACATTTGACTCACAGAAGCAATAAGTGTCCTTAAATCGTGTTGCAAGCTTTAGGGGTCTTTTTTCTAGTTTTGGGCTTTTACAGTTTTTAGTTTCACTCACCAACCAGTGGCTGGCCTTTGTGGCCAAATGCTGCTGCCCAGGCTGGTGGCCAGGCTGTCCCCGAGTGAACAAAACACTCCAGGTCGGACACCTGCCTTTTCTGTCACCACACGGGCAGCAAACTGGGGGCACAGGGCTGGGCGTGTAGCTCTGTTCTACCAGGCAGCGCTTGAGCCTGCAGGCTTGCTCTGCTGCTCACCGCTGGGAGCCCCAGGTCCACAGTGGAGCAGGGACAGAAGCAGGCACAGAGACCTTTCTTTTTCCTTTCCCCCTGATCTTGCAGGGTAAAGATTCTCGGAAAAGGCTTTGCCATGTCTCAGGGACAATCATTGCCTCCAGCCAGGAGCATGCTGGACTCCTGGGTGCTTGGAAACTGAAAGGTGTCTCAGGTGCCTGCCTGGCCACGGCCTCCACCCTCGCCTGCTAGACACATCTCTCCACTCTCCTGCCCTGCCTGCCTCGAAAGGCTCCCAAAGTGTAGAGGGTTAGCTGCTCTCTATAAGCGAAGGAGGTCTGAGATAAAGATCAGGCGTTTAAATTGGCCATTTGAAAGATTACATCTCTTCAGCTAGGGTCTTTCTTTCAAAACTCGCAGTGAATTAAGGGCCGCAGCTACTCTGCACTGGGCTCTCAAAGGCCAGGCACCTTTTAGTTCAGCTGTGGAGTGGGCTGGGCTAGATGACCGGGCGCCATCAAAGGCCCGAGGGGAGGCCATGGGGCGACACTCGTCTAATGACAAGTAATCGACAGATTGGAGGCCCTGCATTACCAGCTGAACGGGAGGCATTAATTATTTAAAAACGATTAGCCTTGCTTTGCGTCCAGCCGGGGCTCCACCTCACTCGAAACGATCACCGGTCACGCGAAGCCGAGGCACGGCTGGAGGCGGCGGCACATCCCCTCAGGCCTCGGGGACAGTGGCCACAGGCCGAGACCACGACGGGGCCACCTACAATGCGCACAGACAGAAGTGTGCCAGCCACCCTGAGCCTTTGGGTCAGAGTGACCGATCCCTGCCCACGGTGTTTGCAATCTGGGGAAGTGGCACAGGACAGCAGAGCGGTCTATTCGGGGTGACAGGCAATTTCCGTGGGCCGAGGACCTGGTGCATCTCAGAGCCTGGCAAACCACAGAATAACCCAGCTGAACAGGGCCCCGCAGGGTGCCTGACACCCTGACATAAAATTGGAAGACCCTGGGGAGAGCCTGGCGTGGAGGGGCCATGTTGGAGGGGTCGCCCCCCAACCTCTTTCCGTTCCCCGCCCCAGAAAGCCGAGCGTCCCTGCAGCTGAGTAGCTGTTGCTTTTCCCAGGTCTGCACCTCCCGCAGGCTGCAAAAGCGCGCCCGATTTTGCCAGGTCCTAGGCGGCTGTGAGCCAAGTCCAGCGCACGCGAGAATGCTCGGGCCCGGGAGACTGGGTTGCTGGGAGAATGAGGTTACAAAGGCCCCCGCGGCCAGCTTCGGGCTTCTTGTCTTGGACCCTGCTCGAGTCCCCGAGGCTCCCAGCCTGCTCGCGGCAGAGCCCACCTGTGTGTAAAGACGTCAAGAGCTTCCTGCGCCTAAGCTCAGGTCTCGCGCTCCTTCGAAAGGAGCTGCCCCTCCCCTGCGCCCTGGCACGACCCCTGCTGCCCACCCAGGCCGCACCCGTGAAAGGAGCTGAGCCCAGACCCCTGCGGGGCGCGCCTTGGGCAGATGACCGCGCCTAGGCCTCCTCTCCCCGCACCAGGCACCCCGTTTCCTGCTCATCTCACTCTCCACGCCACCTCCACACTGTCCTCTGGATAGAGTCCCCAGCCCCAAGTGGTGGCAGGGGCCTGTCCCGGTTTCTTAGTTCCTGGGGCCCCACTAGACCGCAACTGCGCCCCGACCTAGACCCCTCACCCTTCCACGCCTCGCAGCCTGGAGCCCTTTCCCACCCCGGTATCTTCCCCGGACCCCGCCGGGCGTCTCGGCCCTTATGGGAAGAGGACCCAGCCAGGCGGGGAGCCGCGCGCTCCCTACCTGCGTGGCCCGGGCTGTGCGCGGCAGCGGCGGCGGAGCGTCCAGCGCGCGGAGGGAGGCGGCCGACTGCTCCGAGCCCGGGCATCCCTGCATTTATTTGAGCTCAAACCGAGCGACTGTTGACTTTAGCACACAAAGCAAAGATTTCACTGCCCGCTAGTTTAAAAATGAATATTTTACCAAGATATCGATCAGCGTTATAAAATTCAGTTAAGTACAATGGGATCTTGGAAAAAAAAAAAGAATAATAAAGGAGGGGGAGGCAATATAATATCTGTGCAAATTTGCTGAGGTGTGACGTGGCGTGGGGAGTTTACCCTCCTGGAATTCGGATCTAGCATGTTTTTTTCGGTTGTTTACTGACTTTGTTTATTCACACATCACAGTTGCTTAAACCCGCGCGCGGAAGGAAGGCGCGGGGAGACGGACGGGAGAGAGGGGGCGCGCTGCACCCCGCAAGACTCGGAGCTGGGCGGGCGGAGGCGATGGGGCGTCCGCTCAGAACCAGGGGGAGGGGTTGCGAACCGCACCGTGAGCAGCAAAGCCGGGAAGCGCAGCTCCGACTCTTTTTCGGGTATTCGCACAGAACTCTATCTTACCGGCAGGATCAGTGGAGGGGGGCACGCTAAGTAGTTTAAAACGACCCTCGCACAATGGGAGAGCGATAGGAAACATAGCAGGTTAGGGCCGCGCTTTCAGCCCCCATTGTCCCGTACTCGGCCCCCGGCCCTGCCTCTCGGCTTCTTCGCCACAGGAGCCTTTTATGTGATAATGAAACACATTTCAGGCCAGGCTCGCGACGTGTGTGTCCTTGCCAGGGGGAGAGACGGCCCGATTGCTGGCCTCGTCACCCCCCCCCCATTTCTCTTCCTTGTGTTCTTTGGGACAATGTGGCATGTTAAAAAGGGGGATTTGAGGGCGGGGGGCGGAGGAGCAACCCCCTTCTCAGCTCGTGGGAAGGCCAGGGAGTGGGAGGGGCGCAGAGACCACAGCGAGGTGGCAGAGGGCGCACGGTCTGACGGTGTCCAAGGCCAGGACGCTGACGGGACATCCCGAGTTTCTGTAGTGAGGAAGCCCTAATTTCTAGCTTCCCAAGCTGGATCCTGGGCTTACATATGAAACGCAAGCAGCGAGTCTAAGGATCTGAGGCCCGTGTGATTTTACTCAGCACTGACCAGAGGTGCGCTCTCTAGCCAGTGGCTGGCAGGCCTGCGGATGTTGGGGCAAAGCCCAAGCTGGGCTGCCTCTGCTCTGAGCCAGAGTGTTCACTGCAGCCAGGCCATCTGTGGGGCAAGGGAACATAGTTTGGAAGAATATATTCTGGATCCTCATACTTTTGAAGTCTCCTTAAAGGCTCACAACATACCCTCATCCACTGGCTGCAATCCCATATTGCCAGCCTGGAACTCTGGCCTAGTAGGATGTTTTTGGGGGTCTCAGGGCTTGCTTCGAGGGAGAGGAATAAATCTCAAGACACTGGGATCTGTCACCTGCCAAGATCGTTAGACAAGGGGCACCAGATACCTTTACCTCTGCCCTAGTTCCACATACACCTCATGTTTACGAAGGAGATGTGGAGTGTCACACAGCTGCCCCATCTAGCCAGGTGTGCACAGGGCACAGGACACATTTGTGCAGGAGCAGGGAGGAGTTGGTGGTGTGGCCACAGCTTGGAGCACCCAGCCTGGTCTCCATTCCACAGGAGGCTACCACGGCCAGTGCAGGTGCAAAGACAGGGCAGCACTAGGAATCCGCAAATTCAGTCTAGGCTCAGTGGCTCTGATGAGGCCTAGGTAGAAACAGCAGGCACAGGTGAAGTCTAGGCTTCCCCCAGCACAAGCCAGTCCTGGGTCCAAGAGAGATATCCAGACCAGGCCGCCTTTCCACAGCCCAGACAGACTGGGGAGACAGGAGGAGACTGGTTTTATCCTGGTTTTAAAAATAAACCTGCCAGAATGGTGCCGCAGGAGACTGTGTTTCACTATGTGTACAGTTAAAGTCCAAATTGAAAGCATGGCCACAGACAAGGCTGAGTGCTTCATGAGGTTGGACTTGCTGGGACGTGGGAGGGAGTGGGCTGGAGCCCTCATTACCCTGAAATGTGCTTAGAAAAGCGGGTGATGGAGGGATGGAGGTGTGGAAGGACGGAGGTGTGACGAGAGGGACAGGAGCTTTGAAACTGGAACTTGGCAGTGGGTGCTGTGTACTCACGGTAAAAAAAAAAAAAAAATGCTTAACTTTGACATTTTAATAAAATGCTGGGAAAACAACACCGGCTTGCTCCCCCCAACCACACAAAACCCTACCACCGACCAGGATCTACCTCCCTCCCTGGAATCATTTTATATCTGTTTATTTTTAAAGTCAGATAAAAAAGAAAAGAAAAAGAGGAGAAAGAAAGAAAACCTTGAAGAAAAGATTCAAGGGATAAAACCGGCAATAACACTTTAATATAGATTTGTGGAACTCTGGGCCTTGGTGCCAGAATACACATTTATAAGCCATAAATAAAGCACGCAGAAACCATAAATTAATCAGACCCGAGACCTGGATTTCACCTTGTCGAGAATGGGAATGCGCTTTTTTCTTTTTCTTGGTCATTTACAACAGACCCTTACATCATTTTTTTCTGTCTTTTTAAACAATAGTACATCCCTCTGGATCTCTGTTAAAACTACATGGTTTTACACCGAGTCACTCACAAAAGTTTTTTGTTTTTTTTTTTTTTTTTTTTTTTTTTAAAGTAAATCTTCCCTGCAACAACAGCAATGGAGGAGAACAACAACAACAACAAAAATCCGGGGTCTGCAGGTGCTTAGAGAGGCAGGAGTCTACAGGGTAGTGGGAACCGAAGGCTTTTTTTTTCTTTTCCTCTTTTTTATGCTTCCTATTTCCCGCTCCTTTCTTATATGAAAAGATGGGCATTCGTGTGTCCCTCCGTGGGGAGCGCAGGCTGCGGAGGGAGAACGTGAGCCAGGACAGAACGGCTGTGTGGGGCAGAGGCCTCCTGGGTCTCTCCTCCCTTGCACCTCTTGGAAGCCCCCTCCCTGAAGCCTCTACCGGCTTCCTCTGTCTCTTGTCCTTTGCACCGAGCTGTTAGAGGCGGGCCTGCAGCAGTCCTCTTAGGAGGAGTTCATGATGGGCCGCGAGTACACGCCCTGGTAGTAGGAAGGGTCCGCCGCCAGGGGCGAGGCGTCCAGGCCCGCTTTGTTCGTGACGGGGCCCATGGCCAAGCTGCCAGGCATGGGGGACCCGTAGCCGGGGTAGTGCATCACCTGTTCATAGGCCTTGAGGTCCATTTTGTGCGGCTGATGGTGGTGGTGGTGGTTATGGTGGTGCTGCTGCTCGGAGGACATGAGGTTGTTGATGGAGAAGGGGTGGTTGAAGGCATAGTGGTGCTCCGGCTTCAGGTGCGCCTCGGGCGGCAGGCCAGGGTGGTGTGCCGGCCCAAGCAGGTGTGCTGCCGCCGAGGGCTGCTGCCCCGGGGAAGGCGCGGGCTCCGGGGGGCTCAGCGTTGCGGAGGGGGGCGCCTTCAGCTCCCCAAGGGCCCCACGTTTGTGCTCCTGGCACGGCGAGGCACTCGAGTGTGGTGACTCGGTGCCCACCGGCGTCTCTGGGGCAGGCCCAGAGGGCTCCCCCAGCGGGGCCTGGGTGGCCGGAGTCCCCGCGCCCTTTTTGCCGCTACCCGCCGCCTCCTTCAGTGCCAGCTGCTTCTCGCACTTGAAGCGCTTCTGCCGGCGTAGGTAGCAGCCGTTCTCGAACATGTTGCCCGAGTCGGGGTGCAGGGTCCAGAAGGAGCCCTTGCCGGGCTTGTCCGGGGAGCGCGGCACCTTGAGGAAACAGTCATTGAAGGACAGCGAGTGGCGGATGGAGTTCTGCCATCGCTGCTGGTTCTGCCGATAGAAGGGGAAGAGGTCCATGATCCACTGGTAGATCTCGCTCAGTGTCAACATCTTGTTGGGGCTCTGTTGGATGGCCATGGTGATGAGTGAGATGTAGGAATAGGGAGGCTTGGCGTGAGTGTAGCTGCGCCTGTAGGTCTTGGGGTCTCGCGCGCGGCTCAGCCCCGCCTGCCCGTACATGGGGCTCATGGAGTTCATGTTGGCGTAGGGCGCCAGGCCTCCCATGGCCCCTGCCGCCTGCCCCCCGAGTGGACTCAAACTGGGGCTCAGGTGCGGGCCCATGCCCGCCACTCCGGCCGTGCCGGCAGAGCCCCCCATGCCCGCCATGGGGCCGGCGCCCGGGGACATGCCGGCCAGGGACGGGCTCATGCCAGCGCCCACGTACGAGGACATGTTCATGGAGCCCGCGCCCATGTTGCCCGAGCTACTGCCCATGGCGGCCGCCGACATGCTCATGTACGTGTTCATGCCGTTCACACCCAGGCCGGCGTTCATGTTGCTCACGGAGGAGTAGCCCTGCGGACAGAGCCGGGAAGGGGGACAGCATTAGCGCCGCGCCTCCAGGGTGCCCACACCTCCGCCGCCCATCCAACTGCGGCCCCGACTTTGGGACTGCCTCGCGGGAGGACGCGCCTTTCCTGGGCCCCAGTCCCCGGACTCGGAGCGCTTTTTTACCTCTGGGGAGGTGGCCGGCGGCGCGCGACTGGTCCGGGCGTATAGCCTGCTCCCAGCGCCTCTGCACCTCGCCCAGATCCTGAGACAGCGGCCTCCCAGAGCGCACTCAGCACGCTCTCCCTCTCCAGACTCGCCCCAAACTCTCCCGCCCGCACCCTGAGCGGGCGCCGAAGCCCGGAGTCCCTGGACATGGCCACCTCTAGTCCCAGAAAGGAAGCACTGGGACACCGCCTGGGGTGGCACAAGTGGAGAGTGTCCCAGGGTCCCTCTTGCCGGTGTTCCTCCCAGGACTCCCTCCCTGTCCCGGGGGAGCTGGAGCGCAGGGGTTGCGCGAGTCCCAGGCGCTGTTCCCGGGTCCGAGTGGGGGACGGGGGAGGCTCGGAGCGCTGGAGATGAAACCCTGGCGGCGGAGCTTTGCAGCCGCCAACTTTCTTTCTCTTTGTGTAGAGTCTGAGACTCTGCCTCCACCGCGGCCCGTCTCCTGCCCACCTCTCCTCTTCCGCCCCCCACCCTCTCCGGCCGACCTCCCACCCCTCCCCAGCCGCGCGCCGCCAAACATAACTCTGTTAGGATAGTGCGTGGCGCGGCCACGGAGAGGATTTGGAGGCGCCGCAAGTCAATATTTGATCACAAAGTTAATATTATCTCAAGGCTAACAGTGTGTCGTATAAAAAAGAGACCCATCTGAGTCGAAGGAGGGCGGAAAAGGCGGTTGTCGCGCGGGCCGGGTGGGGGGCGGTGCGCGCCGGGCCGTGATCCCGGGTCCCGCCGCCCGCTGAGCCCCGATCCCGCGCGCTCACCTCGGGCTCCGCGTAGTAGCTGCTCCAGTCGGACGGCTCGTGTCCTTCCATCTTCACGGCTCCCAGCATACTGGAGGCCGAGTGCATGGCAGTTTAAAATTTAACAGCCACAACAAACGACCGGCAATCAGCCCCCACCCCCACCCTCTTAAAAAAAAAGCCGCCGGCGGCCGGGTCCCTCCTCCCCGCTCTCGCGCTCCCGCCGCACCGCGCCGCTCAATCCCGGCCGGCCCGGGCGGTGGCCAAGGACGCACGGGTGGGCGCTGAGGCGGGGGCCGAGGAGCCCCGGAGGCCGCGCCGAGTCCCGCTGCCTGGGCGCCCGCGCCGTGCCGCTCCGCGCTCCGGGCTGCTGAGAGGAGGCTGAGGCAGGCAGTGGCGACCGCCCCGCGGCGGCGGGAAGCTGGCGACGCGGGGGCGGGCGGGGGGAGCGCAGGAGGAGGGGGAGGAGGTGTGGAGCGCGCGGCGGACAAGTGCCGCAGTGACGTGGGCGGCTGGTGATATAGCGCGGCGCGCGGCGCGGGCCTCCAATCCCCAGACCCGGGCAGCCCATTTGAATAATCAGCTCACACCTAGGTGAGACTCAGCCCAGGCCGGCGTCCCGCACCTGCCCCTCGGCGCCTCGCACCCGGGCCCCGCGCCCCACATCCCGGCCTGCCAGGGAGGCGCGCGCAGAGGCGCTCGGGCCGAGCCCTTGTCCTGCGGGCTCCCACCGTGTGCCAAGGCACAGTGAAGGGCCACCCGATCGGCCCCGGGGCGGTTCCCGGCCCAGCCCCACAGCGCCCAGCGCCGCCCGGTGCACGCGTCCAAAAGCGCGTCCGGCCTCGCAGCCCCGGGGAGCCGCGGTGAAGCCGGATTTATTTATCCCGGTTCTTTGGTTCCTTTGCACACTCTCTGTCAAAACAGCAAGCAGGTGACAGCCCATTTGCAAAACACTGTCTTATTTAGAAAAACTATGTACACACCTTGAACTCGCCCGCTGCGGCTCCCAGCAGGCCCTGCCCGGTGACAGTTAGGTCCCGAGCGGCCCGCGACCTCGCGCATGACCTGGCCACCTCGCTGTCAGCCGCCTCGTCCCCTCCCGCCCGCGGCCCCGGTCGGCTGGCTGCGGCCAACCGTTAGGAGGCTGCGATTTCTCTGACAGTCGAGAGACTTTTCCGGTCCTGAGCAAGGTGCCCACAGTGTTTCCTAATTAAAACAAACAGGGCAGGTGGGGTGGGACAGGAGGGGAGAGAGAACAGGGATCGATGAAGGGTGTATGGGGTGGTTTCAGGATGGTCCCTATCTTCTCTGCCCACCATATGGGCTTTTTATGAAAATCAGAAACTTCAGCAACCACATACTTTACTACCCCTCCAGCTCCCAGCAGAAGGGCTGCCTGTCCTGAGTTAGCCATCCATAGCCACCAAGGGCCTCATCCAGCCAGGAGCTGGATGAGGGACCTGTATGGGTGCTGAGAGATGGAAGCGCTTACTTTCTTGATTCGGAGCACCTGGCCCTGCAACTCCTCTGAGATAGGGACACAACAGGAGACAGTGGGCCTGGCCCACCTGGCCTGAATCAGGATGAGGGTAGCAAAAGCAATGAGCAGACAGCGAAGATGGCAAACACGGGCCTGCTGAGAGTCAGGCTGGAAGGTGGGCAGGCAGCTCAGCAGACGGGGGCGCCTCATCCCCAGACCTGACCCCTGGGGCTGCATGGGTTTAAATTCCAGATGAAGGCATCCTTTGCCACCAAAATGTACATGTTTTGGGCAATCTGTAGGGAGGGCATTCCTAAGCCTCACAGTGAGTACAGGGTGACCCCAAGCAAAGGTCTGAGTCCAGTGGAAGCGTGGGCCCCAGCTGTGTAAGCATAGTGGTGAAGGTGGGGTGCCAAACGGGAGTCTGAGAGCCTAGCATCTTCCAGCAGGTCCTGGGGAGAGGAGAGCTGCCATCAGCGCACCCAGAATATGGAAAAGGGAGTTGCAAAGAATTACAGGCAGGATCTGCTTTTCAAAGCTTTCTGTGCAGGCCAGGGTGGGAAGACAGCAACAGACCACACGACACAAGTCCTAAATACAGTGCACCCTCCACCCCACACTGGGCATGCAAAGGCCAGCTATAAAAACACAACAAATGGGCAGCTTTCTGTGACTTTGGAATTGAACCCTCCAGAGCGTTCTGGTCAGGTCCTGTCTGTGTACTGTAAAGGGAATGTTTGGGAGCTCTAAGACTCCCGCAACCCTTTTCTGGTGTTGCTTCTGGTTGAAATCTTAGTCCTAGAAATTATTCCAAAAGCCAAAAAAGCCCCAGGCCCAGGGAGAGGAGATCTTGACATCCGGGCTCAGTGGGCACCAGTTCCACGGTGACAGCGCGCCCCCTGTTGGCCCCTCGGGCCCCCGGACCCACCCAAGTCCTTGGGCCCACGCTCCAAACCCGCAGCCGTGGCACCTGGGCATCTTCTCCAGGTCTCTCCGATCCACTCCCCAAAAACCTCCCAGGATGCATTTCTTTGGAGCTCCTTGAAATTCTGCTCAACCAAAACAGGGCTTCCTGCCCCGCAGGACGCTAGAAGCTCGGATGGGCTGAGTCAAGCTAGCCCTCGGTCTCAGAGCCCTGCGTCCCCAAGGGAGGCAGGTTGCTGCAAGGAGGAGCGCACCGAAGGCCTAACGCCGGGGCTTCTCTGGCCTTCCCCAGTGTTGGGCTTTGGGGCACCACCTCCCCCTGCACACCTGGGTCCTCCAAGCTTGGATTTGTAAAGGGTTATTCAGACCTCTGGCGCGGAAGCTCAGGCTGGAATGCTGTAAATTGCTCCGGGAGCTTCCCTCCAGGAAAAAGTTTGCAGGAGCTGGGCTGTGAACAGATGTTTCCCTGATCCCTCTTCCGTTAGATCTCACCTAGGGCTGAGACCCACGAGGCTCTCCTTGGTCCTCTCCTTCCCTTCCTCTCCCTCCAGCTCTGTTCTGTCTCTGTACTGAAGCTGCCTTACAACCAACGACTGTGCTAGGCTGCAGAGTTTGATTTTATTCTGGATATCGCTGTGGCAGCAAAGGGTGCTATGACTTGGGCTCAAATCCAGGCCACCTCTGTGGCCCCTTGGAAGATAGCTGTGATCCTGTGTCCCTTAGCAAAATCCCTCTCAGAACCCCCTTTGCCAATGAAACTAGCTGGAGGGGATGTCATAAATGGAACCGACTCTCTTAAACCGCAGCCCGTCAAACAGCAAAGGGAAAATAATAAAAGGCTGATTCCGCTGATCAATACTCCAAGTGCTGAAGCTCTTCAGAGAGTAAATATCCAGGAAAGGCCGGGCTCAAGGCTCCAACTTGTGCAGGACCTTTCCTTGGGAGTCTGCAGGCAAGGGTAAGACTGGAGAGGTGGAAATGTCACTAGAAGTTTGTGAAAGCAGCCTTTCCACTTTTGAGCAAGCTTTTTAGTGATAGAAAACAGACGCGCACACATCCCCTAATTCCCAGTGGGATTTTCTGGGCAAATCCCCAGTCTCAGGGAAGAAGGGGTGTGCAGAGAGTCAGAGATTATAATCAGCACCTTACTTCCTATAGGTAGGTGATTTCTTAAAACTCAGGCCATCAAGAATGTGCCTGCTCGGCACTGAGCGCACATTCAGACCTTAATGCTGCTTTTCACAGTCCTTCCGGGGTCCAGACAGCAGCAGGGAGGGCCGCTGAGGAGCAGTGAGCTGAGACGGTTTCATCACAAGCAATTACTGGGTCGGAGCGATGTGAGTAGCAGTTTAATAAACAATCTACTGCTCCTGCACAAGGGCCAAGAAAAGAAGGGACACAAATAAAAGTAATGAGAAATTAAAACAAGTGCGACGGCAGTGACCCCAACAAGGCCGGGGGTACAGCTCAGTGGGGACTGTGTGCAGAGCGGGGCAGACCCCGGGACCCATCCCCAGCACCAAAAACCAAAAGCAGGATTTTAAAAACCCTGATTGTGTCCCGGTGATAGAATTGTATCTTCCGGCTTCATTTTCCTCCAGTATAGTTGTACTGTTTTCATATCGTTGTTTCATTATTACATTCTGTTTTATTATTTTATAGTGAAATGTGCAATAAGGTGATTAGTCCTCATGTTAAGGAAACTGTGGCAAAATAAATTGTACATATACTCACTCAGTTATCATCCTCAAAAGATGAGAGCAGCCACCACTCAAACTAACAAGGGCTTTGTGTCCTACAAAAGCAACCGTGTTGTTTTTTTTTTTATGGGAATCCACGGGTGGACAGGGTGAGCTCTCCTTGCAGGTAAGGAAGGAAAAGACGCATCCACAGCAACCACAGTGTGGGGTTCCTGGTGTGGTCCGTCTGTCACACAGGAGAGAGCAGAAGCTTCCTCCTCTCTTTGGATGAGGAGAAGCAGCATTTACACATAAACGTCTCCCTGCCTGCAGAGCCTGATTGCTGCTGGGAAGGCTAGGCATGGGCATGGGCTGCTCATGCCTGTGGGTGTGGGTGTCCCATGATCCCACTCCCATCTGCAGAGTTCTGCACAGGAAGCTGAGCTCAGCCCTTTCGGGCCCAGAAACTGATATGTAGTTCTGGTGTATGCTCAACATCTTGCCCTCTGCTGTTGCCTTTTAGCACATTTCGGGTGTGTGGGCCTCTTACAGCAGGTAATTGAGATCATTAGAAGAAGTAAAAATAAAGACATGACAATTTTAGTAGCAATAATAACATGCCAACGTGAGTGAGAATAAAGTCTCCTTTGAAAGATGCTTAAATTAGATGCTTCTGCATTTGTGGCCGGGAGCTGTTTCACCCACTCGCGTGTTATTCTTGGGGGAAATCTCAGTTTTTCCTGCCAAAAGGCAAGCAGCAAATTTTATTAAGGACAGAAGTGCTGCAGACTCACTTTTTGTGTCACACAGGGAGCTGATTTAGAAGAGGTTCCATAGACCTATGGGCTACATATGACAGACTTGATTTTGGTGTTTAGGATGTATGTCTCTGTTAGCCCTGTCAATTCAGTTTACCAGGGTAATTCCAGGGGAAAGACAGAGGAGCTGGGGGTTGGAGTGAGAGCTTCAGGATAGGGACGTCAGCACACCAGGGGCTGCAGGGCTGGGCTGATTACCCAGGCCTGACCCGCCCCCTCCTACTTGTATGCGCATAGGGATCCCTGCGGACCTCCTTAAAATGCAGGTTCCGATCAGCAGGTGGAGTAGCCT